TGACGATAACATCGCAGACATACTTTTTTCAGGTTTTAATAATTGTAAATGGATATTCCCAGAATGATTTGTGAGCGCAAGATGTTAAGGAGAATTTTTACTTTCACATTTTTTTATTAGCTAATAAATTTTTGCTGAAAAAGTAAGAAGGAAACTTAAGCATAGAAAATTAAATGCAACTTATAGATTATAGTTTTCATGAAAAATTACCAGTAAAAACTTTATAAAAAACGATTTATTGATGGCCTTTGTTAGTTAACTATGTCGGTTTAAAATTCTATTAAGTGTTTTAAGTTGCATTAATTTTCTATGCTTAAGTTTCCTTTTTATTTTCTCAGCAAAAAATTTATTGATTAATAAAAAATATGAAAGTAAAAATTATCCTTCTTTCCATCTTGCGCTCACAAATCATTACGGGAATATCCATTTATTATTAAAACCTGAAAAAAGTATGTCTGCGATGTTATCGTCATGCGATGATTTGTAGATACTTTATTTTTTACTACGATATTTTCGACGACGATGTTTTTAAACTGCGAAGTTTTTGAACCGCTTTATTTTCGACGGCGATATTTTGTACCGCGATGTTTTAGAACTGCGATGTTTTCGCCCACGATGTTTTGTAGCACGACGTTTTCGTCTGCGATGTTTTTGCCGCGATGTTTTCGGCTGTAACCAACTCGAGGGCTATCTACCAAGCTCTATTTACATTACACGTAAGGAAAACAACGAAAAGTCCTATTCACCGGGATTTGAACTCGGGACGAGCTTTTATTAAATGCAGGTACTGGAGATTTAAGTTCTGTTTCTATGTAATTCACATATTTAATTTTTGTATGTTAGTTATGAATAATTTTTACAGTGAGAGAAATAACGCCAAAAACTATTTACTCAGTAAATCAGGAATCCCTTTAAATTTCTATATATTATCTGAAAATAAAGTTAAATTGCATGATGATTAAGAGCTAGATCGCCTTTTTTTTTTTTTTTTTTTTTTTTTTTTTTTTTGCCAAACTGACATTAAAAAATTCTCCAACGTTTTCATTTCTTAGCACTCCATCCGTTGATATGAATGTCGATAAGCCACGAGAATTGTGCGATTTCTACAGCAATTTTTGATGACGAAGTTATAAATGTGCCACTGTTATTAGTTAATCGTTGCGCTGAGTAATATGCCAAAAATGCTTTGTGCCCATTTTCATGTTCAGAAAATAAACCGTCAAATGAAATTCGTATGTTTTTTGCATTGGCTATGCTGAAAAGCACTGTGAAAGAAGAGCGAGGATTGTCGAGCCTTGTTTTAAAGTACAACATACTGATTTGAAAATACTAACTTGCATACAGAAATTTCAAATTTTATGATGCATATCATATGCCACTGTATGTAATATTAGTTTACAGCTCACCTTGGCTTGTGAGAAAAAAGCTAACATTAAATGAGTAATGGTAACTTTTTTATTTCTCTCTTTTTGACTAACAGGTGATAAGTCACATAAACTTTGCATAAAAATGCAGTTGTCTAGCAATTTCGTAAATAAAAATACTGAAAACGTTTGAAGGAGTCTGAAATTATTGATCTAAAATGTGTATAACTGTGTTCTATAAAATAGTTTTGCAGTCGTTACTTTCTTCGTTACACAAGCCATATGTACTGAAGCATTTTCATCAGCATTAATTAACTGAAAACAGTTGATAAACGTAATCACTATTTAAATCACCAAAACTCATTCGGTCGTCCTTTATTAAAATTTACGGTAGTTCCTTTTGGAAGAAAAGTATGGCACAGATAAACAATAAATAAATAAATAAATTAGGTCTGCTGAAACCAAATTGGTATCTATGTGAATGCGGCTGCCTTTAATTTTAAGTATGAATTAAATTTTGGCATTTGATTCTTTCTTAAGGTAATATCCATTCGAATAAATTCTTCAAACATATTTTGTTAAAAATCTGAGAACGTGTTTTATACTTGAAAATAGTATAACTGATGTATACATTCTGAAGAAATTGTTGCTAAATTCTTCACATTAATCTCCTTTAAGAAGATAATTCTTTTAAATTTGAGCTTAAAAAGGAATGTCAATTGAAATCAAAACTAAAAGGTAAACAGTGATCATTCAAGAAAAGAAAAACTCCCTTAAAATCATAAACAAAGCGATTCCAATTGAAAAGGCGCGGTATAGGTGATTTAAATGGCTTGCAGGAATTGAGATGAAACCAAAATAAAGAGAGACAGTACATTATTTTAATGAAGAAAGAGAAATATTTCTTTCCTAAGACTTATTTTTTTTTTTTTCAAATCTTTTCTGAATAAAATAAGTCAATAATAAACTGTAATATGTGCACTAAAAAATAATTTAATGCATATATCGAAGAGTAATGGTAATTTTTATATTTCTCTCTAATTATTTGATTTTTGACTAACAGATGATTAGTCACATAAACTTTGTATAAAAATGCAGTTGTCTAGCAATTTCGTAAATAAAAATACTGAAAACTTTTGAAGGAGTCTGAAATTATTGATCTAAAATGTGTATAACTGTGGCACGTTATAAGTAGTTCTATCTGCCTTATAACTCATAAGCATAATTACACATAAGCCTAATAATTAGGCTTTCTTCGAAAGTAATCGTTTTCCAAACTTTAATTTTACTTGCAGCATTTGTGACACAGACCTTATATTCATACACTTCTAAAACATGAGCTTTTCTACCACCCTACGTCCAAAATTCTGTTCAGCAAGGTGTACACCTGTATATAGATTAACTTCAAAGTTATTAGACAGCATCCATTGACAATTAAAAAAAAAAAATATGTGCATTTTCCATGGAATTTCTAGTGCAAAATGATACCAGAACTTATATATTTTTATGCTAAATAAGAAATAATTTTTTTGGTTTGATTATGAAAAGAATTTGAATAATATATTCATTATTTTTGTCTTATAATTTGAAAAATTGCAGTGTGAGCTTTCAATAAATATTTTTCATTTTAATGTTCTACTATAAAAAAGGCCTAACATATATCATAATACATGTTAAAAAGTGAGCCTTTTATAAACTACTGACGGAAACCAAACGATTTCAATTTATTGTTCATTTAAAAGTATGACATAGAAATAGCTTCAATTTATTTCCAAAAATTTAATCCTTGGTGGAACAGTCAGTTGCAGTTCACACCCAAAAGCATACAATGAGATAAGGCTAGAAAAAGACTGTTTAATTTGCTTTCCGTTTGATTCGCAGCGGTGCCCACCAGTGGCCGAGCGGTAAAGTCGCTGAACACTGGTAGTTCGGTCCAAGGTTCGAATTCCGCGAACAGGCTGTCTCCACGAAGGCATCCTTTCCCTTAGGCAGATAGCCCTCGAGCCTTTGCCGTAATTAAATAAACCAAACCAATCGATTCGCTGCCATCGAATGACTAGCTATCCGACCTCGAACTGCGAATAGCAGGAGGTCGTTGTTATTCTACTTGTACGTAACGTTAGGCAAGTCCTCAAATGGTGCACCACCGGCCCTGCGGTAAAAGATGCTGAACACTGGTAGTCTGGGGTTCGAGTTCATGGAAAGGGCTGACTGTATGAGCGTTCTCGTGATTTTCCCCATGTATAACGTGAATACCAGACGGTTCTCATAGAAAGACACCCCTCCATTTCCATGTAGTGCCTAATGGCGGAGCACGTAATAAATTGTTTAAAAAAGTTCTCCTGAAATAATCCTCCAGCTAAAGTTTCCTGTGACTACAAGTAAACTTATTTCTCCTTCCTATGTAAATAACGTTACCTAAGGAACCAGAAGTTTTCTGTCATGAACTTTACGGTTTAGGGAACCATTTGGCAACCCATACGATTCTCATGCTGGTGATGGCTTAAACCATAGTTTAGGTAGGCTTCAACGAAGGCAATCCTGCCTATAGGTATATAATCCCTGCATAGTTCGATATAATTAATATGCCAGTTAAAGCGTGAAATAGCGTTAAAGTATTTGAAATAGTTCACAATTCACTTTAAATTACAAATTAGATCTTTATTAACTCTTAAATGCCAGCATGGATGGCACAGTGAAAAATCACATTGATATTGCCTGCAGAAAGCATTTCGTGGTAGTAACTTAACTCTTCTATTTGGTCTGCTTTAGAAGATTACGGCAAAGCAGACGAGATTTTTGTCGAAGGGAAGCGACGTTTTCGTGAAGGATTTTCTAATCGAAACTAACGGCTCGAATTTACACTTCATATTGTGAAGGCATTCTTAGAAATTCGAATGCTGTCAAACTACCAGTGTTCAATGCTCTTTGCCACTGGGCCACCGAGTCTTCCAAATGCTTGAACTGATATTACATATAATAAACAGATTTAAAGGACCAATAAAATGTGTTCTCGTTTTTATTCCTTCATATTCCGTAGGATCTTAGCTTATTGTATATTATCAATTATAATTTATCACCGAAATATCAGACAAAAATTTAATGTTTATTCAACTCGGGTTGAAGTTTCATTCAAGATAATTTATGCTTACAAACCACGCTTTATTACAGAAACAAACACAATATTTAATTAACTTATTGTTATTCATACATTAGAAGAACCTTGTATTTCATAACTATGTAGCAGATAAACTCACAGTTTCTTAATTAAAATTTAAAATAAATACTTCTGAAACGCAGTCAAATTTCTATAAGCGGAAACTCAAAGAAGCAGAAAAAGAATTCAGTGATCGAAAATTCAAATTTACGAGTAAAGTTACCATTAATTTTAATACACTTCGTCGGTGGAGAGTTCGGATTACTGAAAATTTCGAATTGTCGAATTCTCAATAATCGCACTTTTGCTGTTTTATTAATCAATCATATTTAATGTAATTAATTAGAGTTAAGGATGCACGAAGGAAAAAAACAGGAAATTTTTTTCGATATAAATTGTAATGCAGAAAATGCGTTTTCCTTCCTTTTGATTGATTACAACTTTACAATTAAAAAAACAATTTCCAAAAAATGACTTACCTTCATGGGAATGGGTATCATGCGATGAAACACAATTCAGCGCATTATTATCCAAAATAACCACTGCTGATACTAAAGCGCAAAAAATAACAAATACAGCAACTGATCCTCTAGATCCAGTTGCTCTTGAAATTTTGCTTGGATTATGTGCTCGCCGTGGGCAGTAACTCACGATGCCACTGATCCCAGCTACTACAAGATAAACACCAACTAACATGTGTTTCACTTTGTGGCACTTGCGTTTATGAGATTTGAGTGAAAACAAAACACCAAGACTTAACTGCAAAAGTCCAAGAATTAGCAAAAACACTGACACAACAAGACATACTTTCTGCCTGCGCAAGAATCTGTCTCTGATGTAAGCCATAGTTAATTCAGTCCAATTCCGGCGGAACAATTCTAAATTGAACCCATTCGGTGCTAAAGAAAGCGGGAAGTCATTGCGATCACTTAACGCTGAGTAGGCCAGTCGAGAACTAACTGTTAGCTGGCTTCCCAGGATTGGCGATTTATCATTGCGTGCTGCAGCTATCTGTCAACTGAAAGAAAACATTTTTTCAAGCAAGATTCTTAGTAAAAGAAATTTGTGTCCGGAAGGACATTCGAGATGGGTAAACATGAAAGGAATGCTGAATGAATAAAAATCACCCAGACATTGGTGGTTTTAAATGACTAAGATGTTTCATTTGATTAAAAAAGATGTTTCTACTTAGATCGTGAGAGCATCTTTATTTTAATTAGAAACTGCCTCAAATCTTTATTTCAAATTGTGATGATCGTTTGTAAAAGAAATTAATTGTAAAGCGGAGTTTTTTTTTTTTTTTTTTTCCCCCAAAGACAGCATCGTTAAACTTCGCTTAATATAAAAGACATTATTTTGCTTACAACTCTTTAGTCCAAAGGGGCGTTAACCCAGAATTGCTGTTTAATCTCGAAACGGCATTTTGCGTAGAATCATCAAAAACGTCGAATCAGTTTTCAGATTGTTACCTCCAAATATTATCGACCGATATTATATTTAAAGAAATTAAATAATGAAGAATCTACATGAATGTATGTATGCTTCTCGCATCGTAAAAAAAAAAAAAAAAAAAACAATGGTACCTAGAGTTATCAAATTTTATATAACGTAATCCTCCAACCGAATATGTGCACCTGGGAGCCCGAATTTCGAATCTGGAATTTTCTTTACTATCTATTTCCTATTTTATAAGGCCCACCAGCGCCCGAGCGGTAAAGACGCTGAACTCTGGTAGTTCAGTCCGAGGTTCGAATCCCGCGAACGGGATAGCTGCATGGGCGTTTTCGTGGTTTTCCCCATGGGTAACGTGTATACGAGCCAGTTTCCCTTATAAAGTCCTCCAAGAAGGCATCCCTCCCTTTAGGCAGATAGCCTTCGTGTGCTTTGCCATAATTAAATAATCCAATCCAATCCAAATCCTATTTTGTAAAACTTTCATGAATTTTTGATTAAAAAAATCATCGGTTTCAAAGCTATCAGTAGCAAAATTTTACTAAATAAACATTTCTATCTCCAGCGCGCGAGACTGACTATCGGAAATTCCAAATATACGCTGTTTTTTAATATTTTTAGCTCAAAGGGCGTTAGCCCAAATGCTCTCAAAACGTGTATGTGTGTGTAAATGAAAAAAGTCGTTCTTGTGGGCATATTATAAAAGCTGAAAGCTTTCAGATTTTCTTATTTTATTTATTTGATTAATTAAATTAGCCGAAAATATTTCGAAAACTTGGTGTTAAAAAAGAAAATGAGAGAAGTTACGGTTTACCAAAACCTCATGAATTTATATTTGAATAACTACATAGCAAAGAAAACGGTTTACTTCATGTATTGTCAAGTATAACAAAATAACAAAAACAAAAACTCCTTCAAATAATTATACATGTACAGAGAGATATTAGGCATTTTTTTTTGGAAGCACAGGAAATGGAAAAATGAGCAACCGCCTTCGCCGAGAATCGAACCACGGACCTCTGGAACACCGGCCCAACGTGCAGAACCACTACACCACGAATGCACGCCAAGAAGGTGGGAGAAATACCTTATATACATACTTTTACTTCCATTTAGTTTAAATGTTTCATACAAGCTTCCTGTACGCAAACGTATAAGATCTAGTCCATTTTGCTATCAGGCAGAGTATCTAAATCTCGAAGTTTAGCCAAGCGACTTCTGGCACAAGAGTCAAAAGTAACAAAAGAGATAGAGGGTGTAAAAATCCCTTTTTATTAACCACAATATCTTTTGCATCACTACTAAATTTCTTCAATTCAATCTTCGGTAACATTATAAGGTATTTCTCCCGCCTTCTTAGCATGCCTTCGTAGTGCAGTGGTCTGCATGCTGGGCGCGTATTCCAGAGGTCTGGGGTTCGATTCTCGTCGAGGATATTGCTCATTTTTCATCTTTCCTGCTTCTAAAATAACCTAATGACTCTACAATGGCGCCCAAACTAGAAAGGTTGTGGATGACGATTCTCCATACCCAGGATTTGGCGATTGGGTTCCCTAAAAAAAACTTCAGTCGCCCTTTAAAAGTGGGAGTATATTTCCGCGATTTTCCCGCCTTCTTAGCATGCCTACGTGGTGTGGTGGCACGCTGGGCGGGTAATCCAGAGGTCCGCGGTTCGATTCTCGGCGAAGGTGTTGCTCATTTTTCACTTCTCCTGCTTCCAAAAATACTTAATGTCTCATCAACTTCATTTTTTTAGAAATAATTTCTTCAGATAATTTAACATTTGATTCGGTTTTTTTGCATGATAAATTGTTCAGTTCTGGAACATAATTCCAAAAAAGTTCCACCAGATTCAAAATTTTCTGTAAATTCTTTTTCATTATCTTTACCCTTTAAAATAGCCGTAGACAGCTCTTTTTGGCATTCTTCTAAACGTGCAAATTTACCCTTTAGCTGAGATTCCAAAACTGAAATTACGTTCACATCTTTAAGTAACTCATCTTTTATTTTCTTCACACACACTGTAAACAGTGCTCTCAACGGTTTTCGTTGGGTTTTCAAACGTGTCACATCCATTATCTCTTATTAATTACTATCATTAGTTACCGAGATCGCCCTATGTTGGGCGCTAAAGTATTTTATGTTGCGCGTTTCGAAATAAAGGCTTAGCTGTACGTCTACCCCACATTACTTCGGTAACTCCTAAAATGAAGAGATAGTATGACACATAACAAAACACAATTTAATAACATTAAAAAGCCTACATTAAACATTCAGACATTCTTCTGATTACGTCTGGTTTCAAGGCAATTACAACGCGTTGCTATGTTCTAAAGCTATTATACCCAACAGTTCATCATTTCACGGCAGTCCTTTTTACTCGTGTCGTTTGGCGAGTGAAATGATGCCATTGGCAATAGCTACTATATTTTCTTTTCCGGGCGTATGTTTGATTATTAACTTGTATTCTTGTAATTTTAAGGCCCGTCTGATTAACCTGGCAATTTTTTCATAGATAAAAAAATATTAATGACCTTTGTTAGTTAATCATGTCAGTTTAAAATTAATTGCTATAAGTTGCATTAATTTTCTATGCTTAAGTATGTTCCATTTTACATTTTCAGCATATATTTATTAGTTAATAAAAATATGAACTTAAAAATTAGCCTTCTTTCCGTCTTGCACTTAAAAATCATTATGCGAGTATCCTTTTATAATTATTAAAGCCTGAAAAACGCATGTCTGCGATGTTATCGTCATGCGATGATTTGTAGGTGCTTTACTTTTTACCACGGTATTTTTGACAACGATGTTTTTAAACTGCGAAATTTTTTAACCGCTTTAATTTCGACAACGATATTTTGTACAACGATGTTTTCTCTTTGCTTTATTTTCTCTCAGTTTGTTTTGTACCACGACGTTTTCGCCTTGCGTTGTTTTCTCTGCGAAGTTTCCGTCCGCGATGTTTTCGGCGGACACTTTTTTGAGCATGTCTTGGATATGCTCTTCAGTTATCTCCTTCTTTACGTGATCATACCTATACGGTTTCGTTTTAACTAGTTCGTTATTCTTTAGTTCTATTTCATGCTGAACAACATGCGTGAGTCCTGGTTTCTCAGAGAATAAATCAGATACATTTCTTATCAATTCCTCCAAATTTTTTTTTTTTTTTTTTTTTTTTTTTAAAGGTACTTTTCCGTTTCGCCGGCGCAAATCTCGCCAAGCAGACTTTATTGGCGACAACATACAGTATACACATAAAAAATTTTAGTTCTAAAGAATTCTTTTTTTTTTTTAAAGGCATAAACATTTAATATCGCTTAAAACTTTATTAAAAGCCAATAAATAAAGACAATAAAATAAGTAAAAAGACATTAATTTAAGAATTTACTATGCTTTCATGGTTCAACATCCTAATTCGCCGGTTCATATCACGTGACTCCAAGCGATCTCATCTCACGTAAACAACTCTACAAAAATCTAATGCTCTCAGTAATTATCTACATTAATTTCAAGTTAAATCTTAATTTGAAACACAAGTTTAAATGCAAAGAAATATTTCAATGCGTACGAATAGCTTACACTCAGAAAATTATGTAAACTGCAGTGCTTTACTTCACTAATGCATTCTCATTATAATTGACGAATTTTAACCCTTGACTTTCCTTTTCTGTATTTTCGGCTTCGGTAAGAGCGTGGATGCATCCTAATTGACCTAATTACCGAAAATGGCCTAGACATAAAACCTAGGCCTTAGACTGCTAAACTATCTGATAAATATCTGATGGCCTAGACATAACTAGCTGATAAAAATTCTAATGTAATATTATTGCCAGTATTGAAAGAAACAATCAATCTGATAAGAAAAAGCTGCGACTTGTTTTGAAAATAAGGCGTAAAAGGTTACCAGCGAGAATATTCCGTTTGGCATCGGTTGTACCATTATTGGCGACTTTATCGCTTGCGCCGGCAAAACGGAAAAGTACCTTTTTTTTCTTTCTTCAGGTTGCATGTGGCCTAGTTCCAGCACAGCGGGTTCCACTGCTTCCTCGGGACTGAGTTGCATTTGCGATTTTAGAGTTTGCACCTTGAGGAAATCTGCACCTAGAATCACCGAAGCCTGAAAATTTCTAACAACAAAATATATATTTTTTCGAGACTCATTTTTAACCTAAACGATAAATGTGGCTTTACCTATAAATGTGCACTTTTTGCCCTGATATGCAGTGGCTTTGGTATTTTCCACGCTAAAAAGTCGATATCCTTTAAAAAATTTTGGAAAACTTTTCAGAAATAAAATTTCCTTGCTCCTCTGTGACTAACAAAGCCTCTGTTGGCACATTATTTAGCAAAACTTGAATGACTGGTAAGGCCAAATTTTTATTAGCAAAACCGTGTTTAAATGTAATTTAGAGGGATTTTTATGCAAGCGGGGTAACTGCACCCTCCTTTCCTCAACACCCTGGATTAGTTTAACTGCCGTTCCCCCCCC